CGCAACTTCGGGGCTGGGGCTCGACTCCCTGCAATTCTTTACATTTTAGGAGTGGCTTTCCCGGTGCGGTTTGGACCCGTTGTGCCACTCGGTTTACCCGGCGAGCCACGGTGGCCGAAGGTGTTGAGATCTCTGAATCCTATACTCGGATCGAGCGATCGAATACTAGCGTCCCGCTCTTTTTGTCTGACTAAACGGTTCGGACCAGCGGCTTCAAAGGCTGCCCTTCGCACATCGTCACCCACGGGCCGTGGTGGCCGAGAGCGCAGAGGCATCAATGCCCAACTGCGGGGTCCGGGGTTCGATACTCAGCACCGTAGAGAATATTTTGACCAAGCTTGCATCGCAAGAAGGCGGTTCAAGTATACAAAATCGGCCGGCGTCCAGTGTGCCTCTCATAGCCCAGTGGTTCCGCTGCTGGGCAGGGTGACGCAGACTCCTGAGTACCAGTAGCATGGCCCCTGAGTGGGAAGGGGGCCGGGAACGAAACCCGACTACTGAGAAAGGTGGCAGCCTGGCCTACTATGAGAGGACTCCTCCACATCACAGATGACGTGACCAATGACGGGGCCACTGCGGTTTAACTCTGAGGTTGCTCCTGTGATGAGATGGGGGAACCACTGGCTCACCAAGCCAGCGGGGAAGAGGGCCGGTTCGCCGGGGTGCCCTCTTTCGCTGAAATTTTCTTTATAGTGTTGTTTTTACTTCTGTTACTCTGAATACATTTTGTGTAAATATGTCTTTGGATTGTCCTGCATCCAGTCTTGATTGACATAGAGAGTGAGCCGCGGGTGTTTAGATCAATTGAGCGCCGCCGAGTTGCTCTCTAGCTGCAGCCTGACCGCGTGGTGGTGTAAGTGGGTCGGACAAAACGGAGGTCGGACAAACGTCGATCCGACAAACGATGTAGACCCTCGATGATCTCCATGAGGCTCTGCGCACGCTGGCGCGGCAGGCGCACGCACACTGGGTTGGCGCGCCTCGGCTTGACTCCGGCGGTATGTTCGGGTCGGGATGGCCAGCTATCTATGGAACGTGGACAATTATTTCATCAAACTGCCGCGAGAGAGTGCGCTTTCCTCTCGCGGCCTGCCTGCCCGCCTTGGGCCTTCCTGCCGCCGGCACTGGAAGTATCGCATTCCCGGCCACCGGGGTATCCCTCCTCACAGTGGGCCGGAAGACCGCCGGAGGCGGCCAATACTCTAGACGCGTTTTGAGCTCCAGAGTCGCTCAATGGGACTCGAACCGTACGTGTGACCCCACCAATGGACTGCTCTCCGAACGAGGAGTCCATTGGTGGGGTCACACGTTCGGTTCGAGTCCTATTTAGCGACTCTGGAGCTCAAAGCGCGTCTGGGGTTTCGGCGGCCTCCGCCGGTCTGCTGGCCCACTGTGTGGCCAGGCCGTATGCACATCCGCCTCACGGACTCGCGGTGGCGGAAAGGCTGGCCAGCCAAGCCGGGCGGGGTGGATATGGATTGGTGGCGGCCGCGGTCGGTTCGCGCTTCGGCCGCTTGGCGCACCGTGATAGATTACCCGTACGTGCTTCGCCAAGCCGCGCCAAGCCGCGAAGCCCTAACCCAGCCAGCCTGCCTGACCCGCACTCCGCTTTCCCGCCAGGCCAGGCCTGCCAACAGCCTAGCCGGCCTAGCCGGCCGCCAGGCACCGCCAGGCGTGCCAACAACCCTGGAACGCGAAGCGCGAAAATGTGTGGCGCACGCTGCGGCGCTCCGCGCTCCGGCCAGCGCCGCACAGTGGGCCAGAAGACCGGTGGAGCGGCCAAAACTCTGGACGCGTTTTGAGCTCCAGAGTCGCTGGGTGGGACTCGAACCGAACGTGTGACCCCACCAATGGATTGCTCTTTGAACGAGGAATCCACACTGGTGAAACAAAGGCATTAAAACTTAAAATAATGAAATCTAATCGGTGGGCCAGGAAGGCGTGTTGCATGGCAACGCTGTCCAGATGCTGCCATGCTGTTTGTCAACTGCATGATGACTGTCACACGCGAGAGTGCGTGGCTCTTCTGTCGGGTCCATGACACTGCACTGTTACAGCGACGCTTTACCCAATCTCCTGCTTGCCGCTGCACTTGCAATTACGACAATGACCTTTAGTGGGCCAGAGTACCGGTGAAGGCGGCCAAAACGCTAGACGCGTTTTGAGCTCCAGAGTTGCTAAGCAGGACTCGATCCAGACGTGTGACCCCACCAATGGATTCCTCGTTCGGAGAGCAATCCATTGGTGGGGTCACACGTTCGGTTCGAGTCCCATTCAGCGACTCTGGAGCTCAAAACGCGTCCGGGATTTCGGCCGCCTCCACCGGCCTTCTGGCCCACTGTGCCTCGGATGCGACACTTGAGTGCGAATGGACGGCTGACTGTGGGAGGGCATGCCCTGCAGACGTGCGTGTGTTGGCCAGTGTAGGCGCGGCGGCCCCTTTGACGCAACGCGCTGCAACGCTTCTGATTGGCGTCCGCTCAAGTCGGCCTGGACTTCACTTCACACGCCAAGTGCAGCGTCTGCAGGCTCAACACTCTGTCTCTCTCGCACCCGAGCGGGACGCCCCGTGAGTGCGAGAGAGACAGCGCCCCGTTCCGGAATCGGCCTGCTGGTGCAGCGTCTGCAGGCTCAACACTCTGTCTCTCTCGCACCCGAGCGGGACGCCCCGTGAGTGCGAGAGAGACAGCGCCCCGTTCCGGAATCGGCCTGCTGGTGCAGCGTCTGCAGGCTCAACACTCTGTCTCTCTCGCACCCGAGCGGGACGCCCCGTGAGTGCGAGAGAGACAGCGCCCCGTTCCGGAATCGGCCTGCTGGTGCAGCGTCTGCAGGCTCAACACTCTGTCTCTCTCGCACCCGAGCGGGACGCCCCGTGAGTGCGAGAGAGACAGCGCCCCGTTCCGGAATCGGCCTGCTGGTGCAGCGTCTGCAGGCTCAACACTCTGTCTCTCTCGCACCCGAGCGGGACGCCCCGTGAGTGCGAGAGAGACAGCGCCCCGTTCCGGAATCGGCCTGCTGGTGCAGCGTCTGCAGGCTCAACACTCTGTCTCTCTCGCACCCGAGCGGGACGCCCCGTGAGTGCGAGAGAGACAGCGCCCCGTTCCGGAATCGGCCTGCTGGTGCAGCGTCTGCAGGCTCAACACTCTGTCTCTCTCGCACCCGAGCGGGACGCCCCGTGAGTGCGAGAGAGACAGCCCCCCGTTCCGGAATCGGCCTGCTGGTGCAGCGTCTGCAGGCTCAACACTCTGTCTCTCTCGCACCCGAGCGGGACGCCCCGTGAGTGCGAGAGAGACAGCGCCCCGTTCCGGAATCGGCCTGCTGGTGCAGCGTCTGCAGGCTCAACACTCTGTCTCTCTCGCACCCGAGCGGGACGCCCCGTGAGTGCGAGAGAGACAGCGCCCCGTTCCGGAATCGGCCTGCTGGTGCAGCGACCCCACGCGGAGGAAAGTAAGAGTGACGGAGACGCCCGTTTGATTTCCGTCCCTCTTTTCGACTAATCGATGACGTTTTCGTCACTTCGATGTCTCGCCTTTTGGGCGGCGCGGTGTGGCAGGGCATGCAAAAAACCGGGCGCTTACTTTCCTTTGAAAGCAGTCGCCCCTCTCCCCTCCTCCCCTCTCGGCGCCGCTCTGGATCCTTCCCAATGAGTGGTGTCCAGTTTGGCGCCGCGGGTCGTCAAAAGGCAGGGAAGCGACCCGTCGGCCCGGTGTCCGCGTCGCCGCCGTCGCCGACGTCGACGTCGTGCAGCAGGTGAAAGCGGAAGTTCAAGGCCGAGCGGCCGCGACACTGTCAGCCACCGCCAGCCACCGCCTCGCCGGCGTCGCGTCAAAGTCAGGGACGGCGACGATCAGCCTGCCGCTACTACACTGCGCAGTGGGCCAGGAGACCGGCGCAGGCGGCCGAAACTCTAGACGCGCTTTGAGCTCCAGAGTCGCTGAATGGGACTCGAACCGAACGTGTGACCCCACCAATGGATTGCTCTCCGGACGAGGAATCCATTGGTGGGGTCACACGTTCGGTCCGAGTCCTGTTTAGCGACTCTGGAGCTCAAAACGCGTCTAGAGTTTGGCTGCCTGCGCCAGTCTCCTGGCCCACTTGTGCACCTTTTCGATGCTTGTGGAGGTCCTGCGTTGAAGTCGCCGCCTTATACTTCGAAGTGCACGAGATGCCCAAGCAGGAGTCGCTGAAAACCGGCGTGCGTTTAGAGAAAAAGAAATGTAGAAGTAATAATAAGATCTGCACTCGGCGGGCGGCAACTGGCCGGCAACTTGCTCTGCGTGGCTGCGCGGTGCTGCGCCGCGCTGCGCGGGGTGAAAATGAATGAAAGCCAAACTGCACGCCACGCCACGCCACGCCGCGAGCACGCGGCGTACGCCAGTGCAGTGGGCAGGGCGCGGCACGGCGCGGCACGGCAGGGCACTCCGAACTGCCCCACATGGGGAACAAGTTTCCGCCACGGTTGGTGCGCATCGCTGCACTGTATGGCACGCACAGCAGTGCTGCACCAAAGTACACTGCGCGGACGCACCACGGAAAAAGAGGAAAAAGTTTCTTTCTTTGCAAAAGTATTGTCCGTCGAAGAGGGAATATTCGAATATATAATGAAATAGCTCGTTGAATTAAGTGACTCATGCTCTGTGCGGATTTTTGTAAAATGTTCAACATCCACACTCTGTACCGGTCCCAAACATTGAATTCGAGATGTGTTGATTAGTGTCAGGGTTGAAGAAAGTTCATGATAGGATCCAGTGGTGGGTCTTTAGTCCTTCTTTAAGGTCAATTTGTTTCGTTTGGAAGCCTGCAGCGCCTTTCTGATCGCTGGTTTCGGACTGAGAAAGCTGCGCGGTTCCCGAAGCGGAGCGCCTGGTGGGTAGGCAGCCCAACCGACTGCAGCGTGAAACGGGCTGCCGCCTGCAAGGCGTACTCCGCGTAGCGTCGCCTCACTGTCCCTCTGGACCTGCGGTCCTATCAGAAGTTCTGGTAGCTCTCACTTCGACTTGTTCGTTTATTATTGTTTTTATTGGTTTACCTTGTTTATGATACAAATTCAGGTTCGGGCCTATTCACTAATATTTACAGACACTGGTGCACACCTTTTGTGTCTCCGACAAACACGTGCACTTTTCTCTAGGTTACGGCTCGTCTGAACAATGCATATATTAATTTTCTATTTACACTTATGGTAAGGAGCACCTTTCAAAGCGACTTCGGCGACAGGCGGTCAGATTCTGGCAGGACTTCTAGAATTGCGCGGTTTCACAGGAATTTTACGAATTATTTTTTTGACACGTTTGCCTGATTTTTGATTAAGTTGTGAGCCAGCACCGAGGGGGCAACCACATTGGATGTTTGGGGACACAAGATTTCTTAAGGCTAAAGATTTCGTCGGATTTCGCAAGATTTTAACCGAAATTCCGCCCAAAATTACCTTGTTTTTGACCTTTTTTGGGGCAAGATTTCTGATTTCCCAGAGATTTCTGGCGCTAAGGGGACACAAGATTTCTAGAGTGGTTGCCCCCTCGGCCAGCACACCCTCTAGTGCTTGAGCCTGAGCTCGGGCATAGCGAGCAGCGCGTACCGTAGTGACGTCGCGGCCGCGGTGTCGCCGACGGTCTCCCACGTCGCGAAGCCCTTGCCGCGCACGCCGTCCGGGTTCGGCCCCGTGTCCTCCTCGCCGCCCACGCGGAAGGAGCTCTTGCTGAACCGGTGGTAGACGCTGGGGGTGGCACCGCGCGAGGACGGCGACGACAGCTTGGCGTTGGTGTTGGACGGCGAGAACATGGGCGCCATGGGGGCGGGTTCGGGCAGGAACTGGCTGGGCGTCCGGTAGCCGCCGCCCTGGTAGAACGTGCCGCCGCGGAGGTCCAGCACGCCCTGGCCGGTGCCGGCGGGGCCGCTCAGCGGCACGGGGGACGGCGGCGGGTAGTAGGGGTACGCGTTGGACTGCCGCACGGCGCTGGAGGGGTCGTACAGCCCGGAGCTCGTCAGGATGGTCGACTGGAAGCCGTTGCCGCCGCCGCCGCGGAAGCCCACGGAGTTGCCAGACTGGAAGCCGCCGGAACCGCCCTGGAAACCTCCGGAACCACCCTGGAAGCCGCTCGAACCGCCCTGGAAGCCGCCTGAACCGCCCTGGAAACCTCCGGAACCGCTCTGGAAGGCTCCAGAACCACCCTGGAAAGCTCCGGAACCGCCCTGGAAGCCACTGGAGCCGCCCTGGAAGGCGCTGGAGCCGGCCTGGAAGGCGCTTCCGCCGTCCGACCCGAGGTTCTGGAAGCCGCCCTGGAAGCCGACGCCTGGACGAAACACAAAATGCAGTCGGTTAGCGCGCCCGAGCGTGGCGGTCGAGTGAGGAATGCAAAATGAGGTGGTGTACGTACCTGCGCCTGCCGCGGACTGCCGACCGCCGTGGAAGCCGTGGCCGCCGCGCTTGTCCGCCCTGACGGCGGCCTCGTTGTAGGTGCCGCCGTTGTTGAAGTACTTGCCGCCCTGCGTCTGCTGGCCGCCGTGGTTGTTGCCGTGGTGCTGGTAGTCGAGCTTGGCGCGGTCGTCGAAGCCGTTGTGGTGCGCCTCGTTGCCCTGCTGCGCGCGCACGTCCTGGTACACGGTGCCGCCGTCGTAGCCGCCCTGCTTGCCCGCGCCGTCGTGCACGAAGGCGGCGTTGTTGAAGTCGCCGCGGTTCTTGTTGGCGCCCTGGTCCACGTAGCTGTTTCCCGTCTGGTCGAAGGCCTTGTGGCCGCCCTCGTCGTTGAGGTCGTCGAAGAAGGACGTGGAGTTGGCGGACTCGTCCTTGTGGTACGTGTTGCGGAAGCCGGCGTTCTTGAAGCCCTTGCGGTGGTTGCCGTTCTTGTCCTGGTACGTGCCGCTTGCGCCCTTCTTGTCGAAGGCCTGCCCCGTGTCGAAGTTGCGGCCCACCTCGTGGCCGGACTTGACGCCGTTCTGGTTGCCGTAGTAGCCGTTGTCGCGGCGCTGGCCCTGCACGCCGCTGTGCGCGTCGGCGTACTGCGCGCGCTGGGTGACGCCGTTGAGGGCGCGCTGCGCGGCCGACCCGTAGAAGCCCACCTCGCCGCGCTGGCCGCCCTGCGCGCCCTGGTCGTTGAAGAACTCGCCGTTGCGCTGGCCCTGCACGAAGTCGCCGTAGCGCGACAGCAGTGTGGGCACCACGTACGCGGACGCGGCGCCCGTCAGGTCGCCCTTGATGTACCCCTTGACCTTGACCATCTCGCCCTCCAGGGTGCCGTAGATCTTGACCGTGCCGTCGGCCGCGTCCTCGGTGGCGGTGGCCGTGGTGGCGGCGGCGCGCCGCGCTCGGAACGACTGCTTGCCCAGCGGCAGCACCTTGCCGTCGACGCTGTCCACCGTGGGGGTCTGCTTCTTCTTGGGCGCGGCGCGCCGCCGCCGGACCTTGGCCTCCTTGTCGATGACCTTGAGCGCCTTGACGAAGGTGGCCGTGCCGCGGACCGTCACCCCCTTGGGGATCTCGTACTTCTTGGTGGCGCCGTCAGCCTTGATGAGGATGTGCTGCGGCGGCAGCGTCTCCGCGTCGCGCGGCGCGTTGGCGGCGGCCGGCTGCACCTTCTCGACGTCGCGCGGCTTCTTGGGGGACGGCGCGGCGGTGGTGGTGGCGGCGGGGGCGGCGGGGGCGGCGGGAGCGGCGGGCGTCCCCGTCTTGACGACCACCTTCGAGCCGTCCTTGAGCGTGCGGACCTCGGTGGGCACGCCGGGGTTGGTCTTGATGCTGAGCACGGAGCCGCCGATGTTCTCGTCCTGGTGCTGGCGGTCTCCCTTGCCGCCCTTCTGCCGCGAGCCTGCCTTGTGCACCTTCGGCACCTCGTGCGGCTTGAGTTCCCGGATGGCCCGCCGCTTGCGCGCCACGGCCACGCCGCTGCGCGCCTTGCTGACGGCGGCCTTGGGGGCGGCGGTGCGCCGGTGGTGGTGCACCTTGAACACGTCCGCGCCGACGCTCTTGAGCACCTCGGGGCTGACCACGACGCCGCGCAGGGCGCCGGTCAGCGCCGACTGCAGCTCTCGGCGCCCGGCGTCGGCCAGGCTGCGCCGCGCGCGGCCTTTGTCGGCGGAGGCCTTCTTGGGCTCGGCCGCGTGCACCTTCGCGTCGACGGGTCCCTCGGCGTCAGACCGCGCCGCGGCCGGGGTGGCTTGTTTGTCGCTTGTTTCCGCCTTCGTCGACGCCTCGCTCTCTGCGTTTGAGTTCTCGACTTTCGAGCTTTTAGCTTCGGATTTAGGTTGGGCCTCTTCCGGCTTCCCCTTGGCTGCCGCCTCCGTTTCCTTTCCTGTGGCGGTCGCTTTGACTTCGGCAGTTTCCGCTGCGCCCGAGGACGCCGTCGATGCCGTCTGCTTGTCGGCTTGTCGCCTCCGCCGCGACTTGGGCGCCGTGGGCAGGACTTCGACCTCCGAGTCCGCGGGGGGCGTCATCGGCGGGGCCGCCGCTTCCTTCTCGCTCTCCTTCTTCTTGTTGTCGTCCGCGGGCTTGGCTTCCTTGACGGACGGCTTGGACGGGCGCAGCACTCCGGAGTCCGCACGCGTGACAAACGGCGCGTCCTTGGAGGCCGCCGATGGTGCCGACGGCGGCGATGACGCGGCGCCCTTGGCGTCCGTCTTGCTCCGCGCCGCGCGTCGCGTTCGATCCTTTTTGTCGTTCCGCTTCACTTGCTTCGCGTGCTGCGCTTCCTCGTGTGTCTTCTCCGGGCGGCCGCCCTGCAGGTGGCCCGTCGCGTTGGCCGCGGACATCTCCACCTGCTCCACGACGGCCACGTGCTGGCTCTGGCTCTGGCTCGTCACGCTGGGCTGCTTAGAGGCTGCGTCGGTGGCGGTGGCAGTGGCGTTGACGGTGGCGTTGGCAGTGGCGTTGACGGCGGTGCTGGCGTTGGCGCTGGTGTTGTTGCCGGCCACCGCGGCGGCCACGCTCTTGGAGTAGTTGACGACGGCCTGCGCCACCTGCTCCAGTGCGCCGGTCGGGATGGGGCTCGGCGCGGACCGCTTCACCTTGCCGACGTCCGCGTCGGTGGCCACCTTGACGGCGGCGGGGCTGACGCGCTGGTGCCCCGAGTTGTGCCCCGCCGCGGGCGCCGACGGCGTCCTGGGCGCCGCGGCCGCGCCGCCGCCGCTGAGGAAGGTCTGCACGGTCTGGGCGTCGGCCGGCGTGCCCGCCGACAGCACCATCGCGTTCACCACGCCCTTCAGCGTGTCCAGGCTGGTCCGAGGTCTGCGAGCGGCTGGCGTCCCCAGGAAGTCGAGCTGGCCGACGACTCCCGACGCCAGCCACAGCACCACCAGGGCGGACCAGGACCGCGACGACGCCATCATGTCATGGCGGGCTGAACAACACTGCCCTGGACGCGGCGCCCCGTCGTATTTATGGAATCATCCCGATGCGATGACGCCGCTCCCTCCGGGCGGCGTGGGTGCGTCTCTGGAGCCCCCCCCTCCACCGCAGCCGCAGAAGACGCGTCTCTAGTTCGGGGTGCGCGGGCCGGCCGGCAGCCAATCGCAAAGCACGCGTCCATGCCCCTTCCCTAGCGCCTCCGGGCCTCTCCAGGGGGCCCAGCAGGGCTTGGGCAGGGTCCAGCACTGGCCGCAGCCTTCTTGGTCCACTAGGCCTTGATCCAGAGGGCGTGGATTTTCATACAATTTACGTTGGAAACCAAGTGACCAGCAACAGGTTGACCCTGGTTGACCCTGGTTGACCGCAGTCAAGTCGCGACACTTTGTTTTGGCGTCAAAGTAAACACAAGGTGGCCAGCTATGTTCGTTCAGTTCTCTTATATGTACTTTTTATTTCGACCGGTCCACGTTGTGGGCGTGACATTGTTCGCGACTACGACGGAGTCGAAGCGCACGGCTGCTAGTTGAGTTGGCAACACTGCCTTCGGGGAGCGAAAAAAAGAGAATCTGTAGGCCGGCCGTTTGGACAAGGTTTGGCGGCGCCTCTGCAGTGCTCTGCAGCAGAAAGCAGAAGCTGGCCTCTTTGAGCGCACTGGTGAGCAGGATAAGTGCGGCGGATCACCGGATCCAAGGATGCCTGCCTGCCTGTCTGCCGGTAGTGGAGCGGAGTACAGTGGGCCAGAAGACCGGCGTGGGCGGCTGAAACTCTAGACGCGTTTTTTTAGGATCCAGAGTCGCTAAATGGGACTCGAACCGAACGTGGGACCCCATCAATGGATTCCTCGTTCAGAGAGCAATCCATTGGTGGGGTCGCACGTTCGGTTCGAGTCCCGTTCAGCTACTCTGGAGCTCAAAACGCGTCCGGGATTTGGACCGCCTCCACCGGTCTTCTGGCCCACTGTGTGGCGGAAGGATGGCGAGATTCGGCTGCGATTCTGAACGGTGTGCGGTTTTCTGTTGCAGGCATCGACTACATCACGGGCACCAACTTCCTGGACATGCTGGACAACGGCGTGGTGGTGTGCCACCTGGCCAGGGTCATCCAGGACAAGGCGAAGCAGGCCGTCGAGTCGGGCGCCGTCAAGGGGGTGAGTCGTTGTAGTGCAGTGGGCCAGAAGACCGGTGGAGGCCGCCGAAATCCCGGACGCGTTTTGAGCTCCAGAGTCGCCAAATAGGACTCGGACCGAATGTGTGACCCCACCAATGGATTCCTCGTTCGGAGAGCAGTCCATTGGTGGAGCTCAAAACGCGTCTACAGTTGTAGCCGCCAGTGACGATCGACTTTGGCGGCGAGTTCATCGCTCCGGGTTACGCGTCGCGCGTCGCCACGGCGGCCACCTTGGTGACAGCCCGCGACGGCCCGCGTGACGCAGCAGGACTGCGCCGCCAAATAAGTTCCCTTTCGTTTCACTTTCGGAAGTTGGAGAGAAATTCGAGCAGCTGCACCCGGCCCGCTTAATTTGTTGTGCGTTTGTCGGCGGCCTCCATCGAGTCCCCCTGTTTTTGGCGTCGTGTTCGTCGCTCTGTCTCTCTCGCACCCTTGCGGGACGCCTTGCGAGTGCGAGAGAGACAGATGCAACACGCACTCGGCGCGCTCCGGGAAGTCGCGCTTTTCACGGGGCCTGGTCACGATTGGCGACGCCGCGGCGACGCGCCGATCGCTTCCGAAGAGTCGCTCCGTCTCTCTCGCTCCTGCGCGGGACGCCCCACGAGTGCGAGAGAGACGGAGCGACGAAAATGACGCTCGGAATCAGTCTGCAGCCGAGTCGCTCTGTCTCTCTCGCACCTGCGCGGGACGCCCCACGAGTGCGACAGAGACGGAGCGACGAAGCGACGCTTCGCGGAATCAGTCGGCACTCGGCCCCAAAACGAGGACCCCGCCGAGAGTGACGTAATGTGTAAACGGGCCGCGATGCGCGATTTCGGTCTCGGTGTGGCGCTTCGCTGATGTGTGTCTCGGTTTGTTGCAGCCCGTGCCCAGCATCAAGGGCCGCTGCTTCGAGACGGCGCCGCGGCGGTCCTTCTTCTCCAGGGACAACATGGAGAACTTCATCCAGTTCTGCAGGCAGCTCGGCGTGCACGAGAACCTCCTGTTTGAGAGCGACGACCTCGGTAAGGCTCGGACCATCATTTTGCGGTGTGTTGGCCGTTGGCGCCTGCGAATGGCGGGATAGGCCGACCCGCAACACACGCGTGCGTTGCAGTACGGCCTACCCTGCCGTTCGCAGGCGCTTGCAGTGTAGGCGTTCCACGTGTGACTGCACTGTCAAACCGCGTTTTGAGCTCCAGAGTCGCTAAACGGAACTCGAACCGAACGTGTGACCTCACCAATGGATCGCTCTCCGAACGAGGAACCCATTGGTGGGGTCACACGCTCGATTCGAGACCCATTTAGTGACTCTGGTTAAACAGGACTCGAACCGAACGTGTGACCCCACCAATGGATTCCTCGTTCGGAGAGCAATCCATTGGTGGGGTCACACGGTCGGTTTGAGCCCCAGTTAGCGACTCTGGAGCTCAAAACGCGTCTAGTTGGTTTCACAGTGTCTCTCACGTGCCTTGTTGCAGTGCTGCACGCCCAGCCCCGCCACGTGGTGCTGTGCCTGCTGGAGGTGGCGCGCATCGCGACGCGCTACTCGCTGGAGCCGCCCGGACTGGTGCAGCTGGAGAAGGAGATCGCCGAGGAGGAGGCCGACGGCGGCCACTCCGACTCGGGCATGTCGCACTCGTCGCTGCTGTCCTGGCAGTACCAGGCGCAGACCCCCAAGCGCGAGAAGCTGCGCCACTCCAGGTGAGTGCCGTTTTGTTTGGACAAAGCAAAAAGTGGGCCAGCCTAATACGAACTACGAACTCCACTAATCTGCCGAACGGCGCGGCAGGGATGCGTCGGATGAAGGCCCGGTTCCCATAAGAACACCGAAGCTGATCGGCGGGTCTCTCTGAGACTTTCGTACTGCCACTTTTTGCCGTCAGTTTGTTTTTCTTAAAACGGCAAACGCAGTCTAAGCTGACTCCACTCCTCTTCTCCCCGCAGCTCGTCCTCGGCGCTCAGCGTGGCGGGGTGCTTCGGCGGCGGGCTGGTGCCGCTCGCGGTGCGCCCGCACTCGTCCACCGGGGACCGGCGGTCGCTGGGCGACGCGGACGGCGGCGTGGCCGTGCTCCGCGGCACGTCGGACGGCGTCCCCTCCGACAACACCGAGGACGAGTGGTCGCGCGGCTCGGGCGAGGACCCCGACCTGGACCTGGAGGTGGAGGCGGGGGCGTCGACGGGCACCCCCGGCGTGTCCGAGCTCGACCGGAAGGTGCAGCTGGCCACGCGGGCCGTGCAGAGGCACTGCCGCTGCGCCTCCGCCAAGTGCGACAAGCTGCGCGTCAAGAAGGTCGGCGAGGGCCGCTACAGCATCGCGGGCAAGAACGTCTTCATCAGGGTCAGTAGTCTCTCAGCCTCTCTCTGTCTCTCTCGCACCCAGGCGGAACGCCCTGCGAGTGCGAGAGAGACAGGCTGCGCCTAGCTGCGCCTAGCTGCGCCTAGCTGCGCCCTCTGACGGCCACGTTTTCCCGTTGCAGTTGCTCAAGGGCCGCCACATGATGGTGCGCGTCGGCGGCGGCTGGGACACCCTGGAGCACTTCCTGCAGAGACACGACCCGTGCCAGGTGAAGGTGGTGAGCCGCGACGCGCTGCTGGGGGCCATCGCGCCGCCCGGGCCGCCCGGGTCAGCGGGGGGCTGTGGCGCGGCGGCGGGGGCGGGCGGCTCGCCGGGGGGGCACAAGTTCCTCCACATCCGGGCCAAGTACCGCAGTGCGACGCCCGACACCCCGGCGGGACGCTAGCGGACCAGGCGCCGCCCCCCGCCCCCCGCCCCCACCGTCCGCGTCTCTCGCTTGCAAGATCCACTTGTTGCACCTAGCCGCACCGTCTTCCGACGCGCCGATGTCGCTGCTGCCGAGTAGTGGCTAGTAGTGGCTTGCACCCCCCACCCCCGTCCCCCGCACTGCACCAAAGCCTCAGCACTTTTGCCTGCACTTGTAGCGACAGCTCGTGGCAAGCCGCCTGTCCAGCACCCTGCCGCCTCCACCAGCTTCCACCCCCCAACGGCGCCCCGGGACTGTGCCGTGCCGTCGACAGTGGAGGCGCAGCATGTGTACCCGTTGTTGCGAATCGGGGCCAAGATAATGACGTACCTGATGTGTTTTTCGCATTCACTGACTGCCTGTGCCATAATGTCAAGACTATGCGCGGAAGCTTGGTTGACGGAACCAATGTGATAGTGCACACCAAGACTGTGGCAGATCCAGCCTCACTTTGATTCCACTGCACCACTTCTAAGAATTCACCCTGGCTTTCGAATGGAGCACCAGAGTTTCTGCCTGCTGTGTGTCACACTGTTCTGTCTTGAAGATTGTGGCTGTTGTTACTCTCCTATTTTTCAAATGGACACTACTTTCAATGTTTCTAGAGACCAATTTTACATCCTGTTACCTAGTTTTGTTTAGCTTTTTTCCTTTATTTTTTTGATGTGTAGCTTTTGCATGTTTTACATTAGTCGTTGTATGTTTGTTACATACGTATTGAGACGTATTCGACTGAATTTGGTAACAGGGTATTTTGAAAGCTGGGCTCAGCATGTAGAACTTGAGAATATATATGAGCAATATGCCACCCATTGTATAGCTGGAAGCTTATAGAAGGAAAGAACACTGCTTACATGTCGGCACTAACAAAATAAAAAGTAGTCATAATTCACTTGATTACTTATCAAGCATTGATAACTTTAACTTTTATTCAAAAATAACTTAATAGTTTGAAGTCCAAATTTACCTTAACTTGTTTTGCACCAGAATATTCAATATTTTAATTTTTTTCTAGATCACTCTAGGTGCACTTATGGGCTTCAATGAAATAGTAATATCACTGACAGCTTATTTAAAAGTATGTCCTCCACTTTTTCTTCATTCTTTTAATAAATATACTGTTACTTTATATTTTTTTAAGAGATTTTTTTCTGTGACCAATCATTGAATATTAATCAGCATGCCGTGTTTGAGCAAGGCTATACAGTTAACACAATTGGTGTATGTTGTTCAAATATTAGGTGGCCAAGAAGAGATCTCTCCATCAAAGCAGAAAAGCAGTGACAAGAAAAAGTGCTTTGAGTAGGCGCAACAACAGCGAGCCCAAGCTTAAGAAAAGAGTAATGTTCTTCTTGTGAGCAAGTGAGCCTCTTTAATGGAATGTTCTCAAATCAGTGGATATGCACCCATACCTTTGTAATAGCTGCATGATACACTTATGAAGTGCTGTAGATAGAAGCTATAAAATGGAATTGCACGAAGTTTTTAATTTTGATTTGTCGTTTGGTTGATTTTTACCCAAAACATTCAGTCTTGTAAAAATTATGTTTTTTGTATAATAGTAAGACAGACCAAAGCTCTTCCAAGGTTTTTTTTTAAACTATCCTGTTTCAATAATTTGTTTTCCCTCTGCGCTGCCATGCCATGACTTATGTCGCACCTACACTATCTACTGTTTGATGTTCTTTTGTGTGCAGAAGCTATCCTAGTTCATAGTGAAATGCAATTTAAAATTACTTCTCTGCAGATGTATCAAATTCTAATTAATTTGTTTTGCCTTACAGGGAAGTAACCCAAGACACAGACCTAGAAGTAGTTTGAAGAAGAATTGACAAGAAAAGGACTAAGAAACCTAGTTACTAAATTTTGTCTCATCTTTGTTGTATATTTGTTAGAGTATAACTTTTTTAGTTCTGAAGGTAGCTATGATAAAAATTTATTTCCCATTTTATTCTCAGCTGTATCATCCGGCCATTCCAATAAGTTTAGGTACTTGTGCTTGATTTCTTAAGTAGTGTACAATATGTGTCATTTAGAATTATGCGCTACCTGAGAGGGGTGACTTGATGATATGATGAAGTTGTTGTGATAAAATGAAAGAGTAGATGTTGTTGTTGTTATGAACATGAGAGTAATTTTTTTAAGATGAGGAAATGCTGCAAAATATTTTTGAAGGAATTTTGCTTGATATGGCCATAACTTCTGTGAGTTAGACAGACAGTACTTTAATTTTTGTAGACTTCAATCTTATGAAATCTAAATTTTTTTCAGTTCTGCCTATTTTATTTTCAGTTGGAAACTCCATTTTGCGTTACATCATTTGGCACCTTACTCAAAGGAGCAATTTTACCACCAATAAGCTTATTTCTGTTAAATGTAAACTTGTGTTTTCTTGTTGTTTTTCCGCCATCTGTGTTCAGTTTGTTCTAAATCGGTTCAATTCTCTATGAACTATTTTGTATGAACAAGTGGACCAAAAGAAATCTTTTAATTTTTTTCTCTATTACTTGGTAAACAAATCAGTTTATTTACTAAACTGTATTTGTTTCAATAAAGCTGCCTTATGTGTTTGTTATTATTATTTTGGTTAGATAACAGCAGCACATTTCAGCTGGGCTGAAGTTTTTAATGGCTAATGCTGCTTATATTTTGTATGTCATCAGTTGAGTTGAATCCATCCATGCTTTCAAAGTTAAGTTCAAATGAAAGCTCGACTTTTCTCCATTCATGTCATTATTTGAATGAAACAAGATCATTGATTAACCCTGCTCAAACGGACCATCGATTGCGTTCAATTAAAATCCATTCCGTTTTCCTCTCACCTAATGTCAATCTAACTTTATTAAAATGTAGGATTAATCAATGCACAAGGGAAACAAAACTATGCAACTGATATTTATGGTCCAAACAGGAATTTTGGTTTGTTCCAGTAATGGCCCTCTCCCTGTGAATTTTTGTGTGATTTTAATTTGATTATTTATTGTTTTGTAAATATGTAATACTGGTGACAAAGATACTGAGTGTACAAACAGTTAGTTAGTTGTATTTTTGTTGCATGGTTTCCCAGTAACTGTTGTACACCATTCTTATGTATAGCTTTAATTTCTTATGTAGAGTGCAAGTGATAAATTAAATGCTTGACTACAAACCAACACAATGTTCAAATTTTGATTGTTTTCCGTTTTTCAAAGACCTTTGAGCACCGGACATCTATTTCTTAGACCTCTATGAAGGTTCCATATCAGTTTCAGACAAATCAGAGGTGCTCGGGCCATGGGCACCGGGCATCTGTTTCTTAGACCCATGAGAAGGTTCCCTATGAATTTCACACAGATCTGAGGGGGTCGACCATTTTCATCAAAAAAAAGCTAAGGCTATGTTGTATAAGGTCCATTTCACCTCTCTACAATTGCAGCAGAGGCTCTCAGGAATTATTTTGCTTTGATGCATAAAAGGAGGGGTGTTCATCAAGTGAATAAATAAGAACAGAAGTAAAAATAATTGTTGCCATTTATTGTATAATACATAGTTGTCTAAAACAGTAAATTATGATAAGATAAAAAAATGACCCCGTCACCTAGGACGTTCACAAAGTCTTCATCACGCACGTGCGAGAACTGATAATTGCTTACATTCAGCAACAAAAACAAACAAATGTTACACAATATCATTAACAGACAACATCATTTACAAGTTCTTTGTTTACAAGTACTGTATGGTTGTTGGGAAGAAACATTTTAAAAGTACAGCAGAGTCCACGATCAATCAGTACACTCATGATTAAAAGATAGCACAACTGTAATGAAGTACCTTCATCCTATTCAAAAGAAACTTTCAGTATGGTTCAGAAAGTTAGCAGCACATTCACCATTTATATACACAATCAAGAAAGAGAAGGTACATGCCAGAGGCTATGATTAACATACCTTTTAACAACCAGTCTGTTCCCATGGTCCAGTTACAACCATACCTAATTATGAGTGAGCCTAGGAAGTCAGCAAGTTCATTTCATTTCGTCCAAATGAGACAGTCTTATGACAAGAAAACAGGTATCACAGACATTTTAAGAAAAGGATAGTAATTAATTAATCCAAGAATTTAACTGAGTAACTATTAATAGTGTATGAAAATTACAAATTGTTTAGTGTCAGAGTTTTGTACAGTGTTTTACTAACTTGAACCTCCCTTTAAACAAAAAAAAAAAAATCAAACAACTTAATGCGGTGATCCTAGAGGAGACACATCCCCATTACGTAAGACATAATTACGAATATAAAAATAATATTTTTTTAAATCATGCACACTTATGGTTTAATCTGCAAGGAATATTTTAAACTGTTCAAAAAAAAAAAAAAAACTATCAATGAGTCATTTCTTTTAAAATCCACAAATCTGATCTATAAAAACAAAATTAATGTCAAATTCAGAGAAACCAGCCAAAATTAAAAAGAAAACTTACAAAAAACAAGGCCAGATGTGTAATGGCAAGATAAAGCCAAGTGCCCCCAAAAAGGCTAAGTACGCAACCTAACCAAAACAGGCATTAGGCGGGTCATGTGACTGCGTGCAATAATAGCTACAATGTAAGGGGCATAATTTTTTTCCTTTTGGAATTTGAACCTAATTATGTGAGAGGAAATGTTAAAAATGCAAACCAATGACAATATTGTTTTATGATACGAGCAATTGCTTTTTAACGAGAAGACCCAAATATACATATGTTTCTCCGCTAAGTCCTATAGTCTGAGAAAACCTTAACAAGAATCTGTACATTGACTTGATAAGCATAAAATTATCAACATAACCACAGTATGGGAAATTAATATTGCTTACTAAGCAAAACAATCATCGGAAAAAAAATAATTCTTGTTTACACTTGAAAACACAGAACAGGCAACAAATTAAAATGAAATCCCAAGGTTCACTGGTAACTTCCAGTCACTAACAAAGTGTCACTACGTGACATGGGAATGTCCATTGTCCTTAAAAGCCACAGCCTCCAATACATGTACATGCACAAACACAGCCCCAGAGAAATACTGCCAATCTACTGCCATTGGTACGGTCTTATGGGGCGCGCCATCATGAATGGGGGGGCAGCTCCTTGAACCAACTGAGGGCGCATCTGTGCCATTTGAGGGCCCATTTGTGGTGCCATTGGAGGATGGGGCTGAGGTACCATCTGCGGGGCCACAACCCTAAGAGGAGGCCCAAGGTGGGGGAAGCCCGGTGGGGCACCTTGGAAGCCAGGTGGCTTCACACTACCGACTAAAATGTGGTTCTGAATTGGTCTGGGCTGGTTCTGGACGTTCATGGGCCTCTGGTGGTTGGGCTGGTGCATTGGCTTGACATGGTTCTGCATGTGCACATTTCGCATTTGCATTCCCATGGGCAAATTGATGGGCGCTCCCTGTGGCATCGGCATGTTTGACAACCTTCCAGGATCCCTCATTCTTTGATGATTGTCACGATTATGCTCTCGCCTGTCCCCTCTGGGTTGCCTGTTGAAGTTTTCATACTGGTTCACATGGCCTCGAATCGGATACCTGGGTTTCTGGTTCAACATTTGAAGTTTGGGACAGTCCTTCTGAACATGTCCAATAGAGCGGCAATAGTGGCAGCCTCTATCACTTGGGGGTTTCCCCACAGAGAGCGCATTTTCATTGAAGTAGTATTTCTAAAGAAACAGGCAGAAAAAGAACAAGAACTTAATAATGATCACGGCAACTTCAGATGAGGATGTGGAAATGCACTTTAAAGTGCAATCTTACCTCCAAAGATGGTAGTCTATCCATTTTGGGAAGGAGAGAAAAGTGCTTGCATGCTTTTTGGAAAGTTTTAACAATAAAAATGTTCACTGTAAAGCAAAATAAAATAATTATTAATACTGTAACACTAGTTTGGTCAATTTTTTATTATTATTATTATTATTTTTGTAATCCCTAACTTAAAACAATAGCAGTAGTACTCACTTCTTTTGGAAAGCCCAGATCCAAGGTTGTGGTTAAGATCAAATGGATCCTCAATGCAGATATTAGTTGACGTCCAGAGTTTGTCAAACTTATACAAAGGTCTTTTCATTCGAATGCACACCACTTGCTGTGAATCGTGGAATTTACCAGAGGCATAAAATTCTAGTAACTGAAGCCACAGCTCTGCCAGAGAAGATCTATTTTTGTTGCGATGTGGCCAAACCTCATCCTGAAATCACATTGAATTAGTAGCTTGATATAATAGAAGTACAAACAAAAAGTCATCATATCAAATACATACCAGTTGATCAATATTACTATAAAAGTATACATTAGCACCATCAACTGTTTCAACTTTGGGCCCGACTCTAGGATCATACAGCTAGAACAGATATATTACAAAACATTAATTATGCTATTAATTACACAATGAACTTTGCCGAGCAAAAACTAATTATGTCAAGGTTTCTTCTCCCTCACCTCTTGCAAAACTGGGATGACAGGAGGTTCCACTTGCTGGAGGAAGTACAGGGACATCAGGGAGTACGCGTATGAGGACAAACTGCCGCGAGATGCATCTCCAATCCCCGTAGTCTTTGCAAGGCACTTCATCATGTACACTAGAGGCTGAGAGGAGTCAAGGAAAACCAATTAGTGACAAGTGTCGATTCACAAACAAAAGTTCAAGATGGAAACAATTAACATACCCGAACTCGAGGATCTATTACGGAATATGCATGGAGTAATTTGGTATTCATAATTCCCAGCGTATTGTACAGGCTAATATCTACTTGGATGTGGTTTTTGCCATAGGCAAATTTGACAATGGGCACCTTTGCAGTGGTGATTGCTAGCAGTTGATGTATATTTCTGTGGCGCTTAAAATGAGATTGTATTTCTTCAACAATATTCGGAAAATTGAGACCCTAAAAGACAGAAAGAGGTGAAAAAGTCAACACAACAACCATTATTAAAAAGGATTATCTAGAATCTCAAAAACAGAGAAAATAAGAGGATGCGCAAGCTTAATCAAAATACTATGGAACTCTGAAAAGTACCTCTCCAGTGGGATTAGATTGAAATGTAAGGCACATATCAATATCTGATGATTTTCCTCCGAAGCCATTCAACGAAGACCCAAAGAGATGGAGCACCGGATCAGTGTAAAACTGCCTCAACCAATGTAACAAGTCATCCCTCACTTCCATGCGGTCTCTTAAGCCACTATCTTCAGAGCATCGAGTTTCTAGATTCAATCAAACAAGAATTGTAAGACATTGAAATATTACATTATGAACTGGCCCAGATAAACAGAATGTTTATAAACTCACCAAATATATCAAGGCATAGTTGGTTCAAAACTGCCTCAAGCTCTTTGGAAGGTGGTGGTACAGGGTTCATTTTAGGAATCATCTCATCAGGACATCTAGATCGAAGATGGCCATTCTTGTGGCATGATGTGCAATTTACAGGGGGTAACTGAAATTGGGTTTGGTTTTTTAAGTCAATATGTATTCCAAACAATCAGAAGCTAGAAGCATTCTCCGCTGCTGTGAGAGCTCACCTCATTATCTGTACAAAGCAGCCTTGAGAATGGGAGGCACAAGGCATCCGAACGGAACTGAGCTGAAAGAGACTGCGCCTGATGAGGAGTAACCCACCAGTTAGCATAAGCATTGAGTGGGGGTGCTGACGGTTCTGTCTTGCCAGGAGGTATGGGCACCACTCTTAATGCCAATAGCTCAGTGAAAACTTGTGAACGGAACAGCTGCATTCTCAAGTCAGGTGCTTTGCTCTCATTGTCCTTTCGTAAATCTGGGTCATTGTAACATTTATCAAGCTGGAAAAAAAAGGTGACAAACCCCATAAATGGTCTAATAATAATAAATGAAAACAGAAAAAGCTCAATTGTCATTTGAATGGTTTTCTTTTAACAACACAAAACTTACCCTTAACACAAGCTCATGAATTTTGTCAGTCATTTCTAAGTACTCATCAAGTATAGTTGGAGCTTGGTCAAAATGAGAACGATCAGGACGAGGCCCAATGTACCCAAATATTGGACCAGAATCACTCCTTGGAATACCAAGTGCACAGGTTGTTGTGACCAAGCAGAAATGCACATAATCATACATATTGGCTGATATATATCTGGATATGTTGTGCTTTGGCTGGAAAGGATCTGGAAGAAAAGTAAAGTTAAGTCTCTGGTCAACAAAACTCACATCGAACATATTCATTCAGCCAATGAACTTGGTTACCTATGACTGCAATTCGCTTTGCATTCCATTTGGTGTTCGACCGCAAAAAGGGCTGAAACTGAGTGACACAAACAACATGCTTCTCCACATCATGCTGAACAGCATAATAACGAAACATGTTAAACAACAGCTTGCCCAAACTATCTTGATTGCGAGTTTGCCAGCGACCTTGAAGTTCTTTTGGATCTGAAATTCATACATAATAATTATTAACCCACAAGGAAGTATGAGATGGGGATTAGCAAAACTAGTATTTATCTCAAAACTGCTAACCTAGATAAACTTCTGGGCTTCCTTCAGGATTATCCACCATGTCATGCAGAACAGGCAATACTTGTTTTTGCTGCAGGAAATGTATCACCATAATTGGAAAAGCATGACCTTGCCAAGAACCATTTTCCCCCTGGTCTAATCCGCAAATCTAGAAGATTTTAGAAAATGGAAAGAGAAGGGTAGAAAGAGTAATGTAAATGTGACAGTCATTATAAAAGATGAATAAGAACTAGGTTAATTGTTTTGACAAATTAAAATTACCTTGCCCCAGTAACGGAAAAATATGGATAGAGGCCTCACCCTCCAATCAATACTCATATAATCACCAATGAGTTTTGATGTAAAGTAGGCACCATTGTTGTTCAAACTTAATTGAACTGAAAGGCCAGATGCAGTATGATTGATATTAGCATGAGCAAAGTTTGTAGCAACAACACGGTCCACATCCCTGAAAAATTAACCACAAGGGGTTTTAAAATAACAATACAACCAAGCAAACTTTTACAAAATATATCATCCAACTTCATGACAGAAAAGGAAAAGCTTACTGGAAATTCTCCTCAACCGCAGCAATGAAATGTAGGAAGGTTGCGGCAGCTTCTTCCCTATTGGGCACCACCAAGTCCATATTCAAAACTCTGTTATCAGACAGGCCCAGTCCATTCACTTGGGATCCAAACCAACGTACTTGGCAGTCTAAAATAAGGCAGAAAGAAAATATGTACCACCGTTGAAACATTTGAAGACTGACAACATATCAACATAACTACTCAACATAAATACAAACCTTTGAATTTGCTTCTTGCAAGTGAGTCTAAGCTTTGCCATAGGGAGTGAGCAGCTTTCTGCTTTTCTTCGGGCAATTTGTTCTGTTCTACTGTTGTCTTGACTAAATCGTCAATGAGACTAGTGTGCATCAGATCCGGAAGTAGATCAATGGTACGTCTTCTCATTTCACACTAAAAATAGAGAAAACCAAGTCAGCAAATGACAAAAAGACCCACAGATCAGCAAAATTATTACAAATGCTTACCTTCCATCTCAAATAGTGGTTATCTCTAGATTTATCCAAATGTCTATCAATGTCAGAAAATTCTTTCTCACAAGGAATGCAGTAGAAAAGATTCTCCTGAAAAGTAAAACATAAAAAATATAACAACAACCACAACAGTTTGCAAACTGCTCATTGTTTTTTCTGTATTTCCCACCTTTTGAGAGGCTATCTTCCTCTTTGGTTTTATGAGGTTTACAGCAGCTCGTAAAAGTAATAAAGGTTCTTTCTCAAAAGGGTTGCTTAATTCCCCATTTTCTCGCTGGTAGTTAGCATCACTGGGTTTATCACTAGGCATGTCTCTTGTATTGCCGACCATCTTCTTTCCCAAACCAGAACCAGGCTTAGGTTCTTTGGACTTCAAAAGCACAGGCTGGACCACTGGTGGCTCTTTAAGGATCTGTGACGCATTGGAAGGTGCTCCAGTTTGAGAGTTTTTAGGTTCCGTAACATGCTGGGCTTGGCTCTCTGAATGCTTCGAAGAGGGCGCAGACTTCGCTGCTTGAGAAGTGTTTTGAGTGACAGATTCCTTTTTGCTTGATTGCTGGTTGACGTTTGACGGCTCCCCACTAGCATTTACTGTTTTCAAGGGACTGTCGGTGGGTGACTGCTTGTTCTTCTTTCCTGAGCGTTTCCCCCTTTTCTTCTTTTGCTTCTCTGCTTCAGTTGAAGAGCCAGCTTCATCCTCAGGCTGTACTGTCTTGCTGTCAGAGTTCGTTACCTTGGGATCTGAACAAACAGAATAAACAATTAATCACCTCATTGATAAAAGTACACAAACAATAGAAAATAAACTAATGAGGGAGCAGAGAGCTTACTTTTTTTCTTGTTAGATCCTCCTTTCTTGTCGACAGAAAGACCATTCATTCCAAGCAACAGTTTCTGAAACTCAGCCCGTTCCTGCTCGGTGGCTGGAGGACTAGCTGGAGTGGTTGCAGGGCCCACCTCTAGATCCGCCACAGTGCGGACATTGACTTTCAGGTCATTGGCAGCTAACTTTTTGTCTGCAGTCTCCATTTTTGAGCGAGGTCAGTAGTCAAAGGATAAAATTCATTCCCTTGAAACAGAAGTCAAAACACAAGCATGAGCCATTGGAAACTGACTGAAACAAGGGTTAGGTTAGGAAACTGTCAGTTGGGTGCGATCCAAGAGTGACACGGACTACGGACCTAGCTCGGGACCTACACTGTCAAGGCACGCGGGGTCCTGTTACAGTGGTGTGGCGATCAACAATGAGGCCTTATCAACGTAATGGGGAATACGCTTCGCAATGGAACCGGCGCAAGTAACTTGAACAAAGACGAGGGGGAGGTGGCAGCTAGGACCACACGTTGAATGGGCAGCGGCAGGGCGAGGGCGAGCCCCGCAAGGCGCCGGGCATACATCACCACGTCAACTGATCACTTTCTTTGATTGCTTGGGAGAATAGTCAATTTTCAGACCTGGTCAGCGCACTTTGACACCGCAGGCACACTGTCCGGGGCGATCGGGACGACTTTGGTGCGGAGTCAGGTTTCAAGGCGGCGACGGTAGACGAAGCAGAGAAGAAACGGAGAGCAGCGGTGCTCCGAGCTGGGCGCTGCACTACAGACTCTTCATTTTTGTCAAGAAATGCTGAAATTAATGTCTGAACACGTACATTCGCAACACTAGCTCTAGCATTGCAGCTCGCACTTGTACCAACACCGCAGACACAAAGAGAACCGCAGAAAAATAACAAAACACATTGTGTTTTAAATGAAACTGAGGAGCCTGCATGGAATATTAAAAAAAACTTTCGCTTTCCACAATATTTATTTAAGTTCTTCGTTGATGCTACGTGACTGTAAACACGTGAAATGCGTTTTCAGGCAAAACAGAACTTTTCTGTCAAAGTGGTGGTTATGCTGACACTGTGGATTCTGCTGGCAACATGAAAAAATTCAAAACAGACCACAACCATTCTGAAAATGGTGATTACTTGGGTCTAAAAGATGGAGTCTATTATAGCTGGTTGAAATTTGTCATTTCCAACCAAAGAATCATCTTGGTTTCCACGCATCCCCGAGATCAACTTGTAACTTCGAATTCGAAACGACATTATTGCAGCTGTGTTTTTCATAGCCTGTACCGGCAGGCGCTGGATTTGAAACAGCTTTCTGAAACATCCACACAAAGTGAAGTGTTCGATCTTGTTGCCTGAAGATGCAAAGTTCTAGCTGTTCATTTGATGTCCAGTGTGGATTTTTTTCCCTTGTAAATACCTAAGATATGTCATGTTTCGTGTAGGCCCTGCTCCACCAGTGATCAAGCTAGGGTGCATTGTGGGACTTCCCCCGTCACGTTAATAGAGTACTCCAAAGAAGCTCTGGCCCGGAAGAAGAAGAACAAAAACGGAAGTAAGAAATAGCAGTTTCTATGAGAAATATACGCTGCGGATGCTCATGCGCAGCGTATATTTCTCATAGATACTGCAATTTCTTACTTCCGTTTTTGTTCTTCTTCTTCCGGGCCAGAGCTTCTTTGGAGTACTCTATCGGGGAAGGGGCCGAAAAAATAAAACAAAATGCTTACGACGCTATGAAGTTAAATATATTTTACGCATAGTAATGGAATTTCCGTGGAAACATCAGTCTATAAAACAAAAGAAAAAACAATACTGGTACACTCTAGTCACAATGGTACGATCGGCAGTCACTTTGTGAGTTTCAAAATGCACGGCACGTTGCGCCCTTGTTTATTTTGTCGCCTTTTAAAGAATACAACAACTGTAAGTACAAGACAAAAAGAAAGAATCCGCGAAAAAAAAGGACAAACATTTCCTGCATATGCTATTGGCAAGTAAGTAACATAACAAGACATAACTTAGATAGTACTACCAACTCGGTCTTTAGTTTTCCTCTGTACAACTGAGGAGATGAAATGATTTCCCACGGCGATGAAATCACCGTTCGTGTGTTTTTCGTGACTAACCAGTTCTAAGAAAAGTTACTGCCGCCACAACCAAGAGAAAACGCGTCAAGAGTTGAGGCTGTCGGGTCGTGATTGTAATTATTTAAAGGCTAGTTTACAACTAAAGCAAGTCGTCTTGTCTTTTGAAGATTCAGGTCCTCTTTAACCAGTTCCTTTCCTAGACAATCTGAAGAAGTCACAGCAACCGCATGGCGGACAAAAGCTGCAATTATATTTTTTGGAGTCAAAATATTCTGGGAAATAAGCAACACTTTAAATTTTACTCTGGAGCAGCCAAAGGCGCTGTTCCTAACTTGACGGAAAATTCCAAACTCTTGCGGGAGCTAGCGGACAGTAACTACAGCTAAAAACTAAGTTTCAAAGTTTGGATTTCGGGTTTTTGTTGCTGTTTCGTGCATAACGCTGGTAACAGTTCCTCTCGCCGGCATCGATGTTTGGACACCCCCGGGAAGTTTTGGTCAAGTTGGGGGCGTCTCTTCTGCTTGTTTGTTCTTCGCAACCCAGAGGCAGTGACTCCCTCGCCTGACTCGGGGCGGGCGGCAGCACCAAGGAGAACAAACGCCACGATGATTTTTTCTTTAAAAGTCATTCTGAGGTCATTCTGAGGTCATTCTGAGGTCATTCTGGCCAGGCTGTAGCATTGTGTTCTCCTTGGCTGGGTGAGTGGTGGGCTGGTGGCGCTGCCGGTGCACTGCTAGTCGCCCTTCCGTCGACAGGAGCTGCAGCAGGACGACCCGTAGTACGAGTACTTGCAGAGGCGTGCCTGCACCACGAGGTGGCAGTTGCGCAGACGGTCTTCGCAGGGGACGCCTGTGGGATCAGAGAAAACGGTCTTCAAAACTGCAGCAGAGTCGCCCTTGTCACTCGAGGCTCGACGCCTACCCGAGTCGGCGGGGTCGTCCTGGGTCTCGGGCGGGGACTGCGCCGACGAGCAGGCCTGCAGGTGGCAGGCCTTCCTGGAGGGCAGCTTGGCGGCCTCCGAGCACGCCGTCGAAGGCCCGCCGGGGCCGATGCACCGCACCTCCCTCTTCTGGGCGCCCGTGCCGCACGACTGGGAGCACTGCGGGGCAGAGTCACGGGTTCAAATACCAGCTGGTCTATTTTTTGTGGGGGGGGGGGGACTTTTGTTGTTGTGTGTGGTTGGTGCTCACCTCGCTCCACTCCCCGGCGTACCAGTGTGGGGGGCACGCCCGCTCCGCGCAAGGCTGCTGCGGCTCCGGCTTCTGCCGGGGGTCGCAGAAGTCGTCGTCGCGGACCTGGCGAGAGAGACAAATTCGAAATAGTCGATTCGATTTTATCGATGAGCGCCACGAAGGGTGGGACTGACCTCCAGGCGGGCCTCGCCGCGCTGCCACTGTAGGCACGCCACGCCGCGGGTCTGCGCGCCCTGGCCGCACGTCGCCGAGCACGGCCCCCAGGGGGACGCGAACCACTGGCCGCGGCAGGAGGCGCCCTCCGACGAGCAGGCCCGGGTGTGGGCGGGCCGGTGTCGCGGGTCGCACTTGGAGGCGGCCGCCGAGCACACCACGGACCGCGACTGCACGCCGGTGCCGCACTCGGCGGAGCACTGCGGACACCAAAGTCGCTCTGTCTCTGTCGCACTCGCGGGGCTCTCCGGAAGGGTGCGAGAGAGACAGCTACTCACGTGCGTGGACCACTCGGACGCGAGCCAGGAGAGCGCGCCGGCCGGCGCGCTGGCGATGCTGGCGCAGGGCCCCGCGTCGCACGCCTCCTGGGACGCCGGCTGCTCCCCGGGGGCGCACGTCGCGCCGTCGGGGCGCTCGGGGCACGACACTGTGCGCGAGCGCACGCCGCGGCCGCACTCGGCGGAGCACTGCAAGCAATCAGCACTGCAGCCTCTCCGTCGCACAGTGGGCCAGAGGACCGATGGAGGCGGCCAAAACTCTAGACGCGTTTTGAGCTCCGGAGTCGCGAAATGGGACTCGAACCGAACGTGTGACCCCACCAATGGATTCCTCGTTCGGAGAGCAATCCATTGGTGGGGTCACACGTTCGGTTCAAGTCCCGTTTAGCGACTCTGGAGCTCAAAACGCGTCTAGAGTTTTGGCCGCCTCCACCGGCCTGCAGTCTGCACACCCACCTGGCCCCACGGCCCCACGCTCCAGCTGGCCGCGGGGGCGGGGGTGGCGGCCGCCTGCAGGTCGCGCTGCGGGGGCGGCGGCGGCCGCGGGGGCGCGACGTGGTGGTGGTGGTGGTGGTGATGGTGGTGGCACGGCGGCTGCACGCACGCACGCAGCAGCGTCACCTCGGGCCTGGCGCCCAGGCAGGCGCCGTCGGCCACCCTCACGGCCAGCGACGTCGAGATCTCCTGCCGGCAGCTCTGCTCGCGCGTCTGCGTGCCCGAGCCGCACGTCACGGAGCAGCCCGACCAGTCACCCGTCACCCACCTGCAAAAAAAAAGAGTGAGTCTCCCCCAGGGGGATTCGAACCCGCGCTCGGTGCTCGGTACGTACTCGGCGGGGCAAGGACGCGTGCTGCAGGTCTTGGGCACGAGGAACTCGTAGGGCTTCTCCTGGCCGGCGCAGCGGTACGGCGACACCGGCAGCAGCGAGTTGTGGCGCACGCAGTGTACCTGCGCCTCCTGGACACCTGCAACCACCACGCGGCGCGTCACGACCCTCCACCAACGGATTCCTCGTTCGGAGAGCAATCCATTGGTGGGGTCACACGTTCGGTTCGAGTCCCATTCAGCGACTCTGGAGCTCAAAACGCGTCGGCCGTCGCTCACCTCCGCCGCAGCTCTTGGAGCACTCCGAGTACCCCGTCACCTTCCACATGAAGCGCCGGCCCTTGCCGCCCTTGGGGGGCGCGTCCGCGGCGTCCATGGCGGGCACGTCCTGGCCGCCGGCCTGGCCGAAGGGGAAGCCGTCGGCCACCTCGTTGTCGCCGTCGTTGCGCTCCTCGGGGGCCGGGGTGGTCGTCAGCAGCGGCGGCAGCGGGGCGGCCAGTGCGGTGGGGGGCGCGCCGGCCGCACCGAACTCCCGGCGCGGCAGCGGCACCGAGTACTCGTACTTGATGCCCGGGTTGGGCTGCTGGTACATCAGCTGGAGCACACGACCGCCAACTTAGTTCCCCGGAGCCGCCTGCCTTTGGCCGGATAGGCCGCCCGCCCGACAGTGGTGCCGCCGGGTGGCCTAGCCCGGCCTGGCAGGCGCTAGCGCCAAGCTTTTCAACATTTTCACAGTGTGCTGCTTACCAGGAGCTCCGTGGGCTTGCTGAGGGGCCCCGGCGCGCTGAGGGTCTCCGCGACGCCCCTCACGGGGTCGGCCTGGGTGTAGGTGAAGCGGGTGCCGGCGGCCTCGTACACGCCAGGCCAGGAGGGGCGGCCGCCGCCGTGCAGCACCGGACTGCCGCCCAGCCTGCGCACGCCTGCAACCGACACTCGCTCTGTCTCTCTCGCACTCACGGCGCACAGTGGGCCGGAAACCCCGGACGCGTTTTGAGCTCCAGAGTCGCTGAATGGGCCTGGAACCGAACGTGTGACCCCACCAATGGATTCCTCGTTCGGAGAGCAATCCATTGGTGGGGTCACACGTTCGGTTCGAGTCCCATTTAGCGACGCTGGAGCTCAAAACGCGTCTGGAGTTTCGGCGATGGCGGCACTCACTCAGCAGGTTGATGGTGGGCTTGAGCTGGGCGATGGTGACGTTGCAGGCGCCCTGCGGCAGCACGGCGATCACGTTGAAGCCCTGCGGCAGCTGCGGCCGCGTGAAGATCCCCGACACGGTGCGGCACGTGGAGTTGTCGCCGCCGCAGACGCCGCAGCCGTCCAGGCGCGCGCTGGAGCCCACCACGCCGTCGCAGCCCACCCGCTGCAACAGGCCAGCCACGGCCGCGGTCAGAGTCCGCCGACCAACCGCAGTGCACTACACCACTACACCGTGCACGCGTGCGCTCGTGCAAAGGGGCGAGTTCCCACGAAATGGGAGTTGTCACAGAGGCCTCTGGAGTGTGTGTGTGTGTGAGAGAGAGAGAGAGAGGGAAAAGGGGGGGGGGGCAGGAAGGACGTGTCGAAGCGCCAGGCAATAAAAATCCACGACGCGATTGAAAATGAGGCGCGAGAATGCGAAACGAGGTGTTGACTATTTTATCTGCGAGAGCGAGAGAGAGAGAGAGAGGGGGGGGATGGGGGGGGGAGATGCTGGAGGAGATAGCAGGGGGGCCCAATTCGTTAAGCAGACCATTGTGTGGGCGGCTGGGCGGCGCTTGGGAACCTGGGAACTCTTTCCCGTGTGTCAAGTTCGCCTTTTTGTGGAAACGACGAGCCGGCAGTGCGGCCTGACTCATTCATATCGACAGCAGGGCCGCTCCGTCTCTCTCGCACTCACGGCGCGGCCCCTGGGTCCCTGTGGGTGCGAGAGAGACGGAGCGCTGTGCGTGGAGAGGAATCAGTCTGCAGTCACCGCCCCTCTATCGGCAACTACCCGAACAACATCGGGGGGAAATGCTCTAATAAAGCGTTCTGTTTCCTCCTTTCCTCGTCTCTCTCTCTCTCTCTCTCTCTCTCTCTCTCTCTCTCTCTCTCTCTCTCTCTCTGAGTCGTGAGGCTCGTGCGCACGGCGCGTGAGTGTGCGTGAGCGAGTCAGCAGCTTACTTACCACCCACCCACACTCACGCACACAAACACACTCGGGCCGATGTCTCTATTCGCGAGTGCGTCGGTGTGTGAATTGCTGCAGCACTCCTCCTCTCCATCATCGAAGGCGGCAAAGAGCTCGCCGTCAAGGGCAGTGGCGGTGTGCGGGCGTGCAGTAGCTCAGACTCTCTCTCTCTCTCGCACTCATGGGGCGGCCCTTGTGGGTGCGACAGAGGCAGAGCGACGTCAGTCTGCAGGGGCGCGCCGTCCGTCGTCCGACAGGGACGGTTCTGCGTTCTTACGACTTGGCAGCCGCCCGATTCCGAAAGACGATTTCGTCGCTCTGTCGCTCTCACACTCCTTCGGGACGCCCCGCGAGTGCGAGAGAGACAGAGCGTCCTCGCCCTGCGTGTCGCCGCCACGATGATGGCCAGCTTCTCGTCGCCAAACACAGCGCGGCGCTTGGCAGTGCCATTCAGCCAGGAGACTGAGAGTCGTCTTCGTCGCTCTGTCTCTCTCGCACCGCTACGGGACGCCCCGTGAGTGCGAGAGAGACGACCCACAGAGTCAGCTGCAGTTATTAGTTGCTTGTTTGCGTTGGCGGACGGCAGTTTTGCCCGATAGCATCTCGATGCCCGCAACAACGTGTGCACCAGGAGCATTACCACCGCTCCGTCTCTCTCGCACCCCGACGGCACGCCCCGCGAGTGCGAGAGAGACGGACTCTCAGTGTGCCGGACACGTCGGTCACAACAAGGGGGACGTGCGTCGCACACGCAGGCATTGCAGTGGCGATTAAGTCTCGTAAGGAAATGATAAAGACTTGTCCAGCGTGCAAACCAGGGGACAGTGCTGCCACGTACCAAGTCAAAAATTCCCACCTTGCAATAGTGCCGGAAGGGTTGCCACCCTCAGCTCGCAGGCGGAGGTAGGCAAACCCTTTCGACAGTGGCGCATAGTGGGAGTTTTTGCTTGCCTAATGTGGCAACACTGCAAGGGAATTCCTCACTGCCGCTGCCTTCGCTTCGTATTCTTATCGACCAGACAAAAGGACGCGTCCCTCCTCAACAAGTTATTGTACTCGTCGACTCTCGAGGTGCATCTGTCGAAGGAATCCATTTTCCGATCCTCCAGATTTCCCGATTCGTCGACCTTGTTGAGTCAGTTCGTTCCTGCAACGCCCTAAGAAGGGTGAGAGAGAGGGACCGAATTTTTAGAGCTTAAATTCTGGCCCTTCAGTTTTGGCGCCTAATTTTTGGCGCCATTATTTTGGCGCCTAATTTTGGCGCCATTATTTTGGCGCCTAATTTTGGCGCCAATCTTTTGGCGCCAAACTTGCGGCGCCAGAGCGGCCGTGAGAGATGTGGAGGGATGGCACGCGGCCCGGTCGGCACGTTATTTACGGTATTTAAATGAGGCGTTGTTGGTTGTGATTTATGTTGGCAGTGGACCCACCCGGCGGCACGGCGCTACACCTTGTAATGCAGTGTCGACGCAATAATCGTCCAAATTACTCCAGCCAGCCTGCTGGCTGAAGGGATCTGTCTCTCTCGCACTCGTGGACGACAGAGCGACGGAGTCAGCGAGCGATCTTTCAATATCTCCGCTTGGCAGCAACCAAAGGAAATGGGACACTGAATAAAGGAAATTATTTACTAGGATGTCTCCGTGCCCCCGTCGTTGGCTTGTTGATACCCCACGCACAAAGGATAGGCCGATTCAATGAAAGGTCACAGGCATGGAGTATCGCCAGGTCCGTTCGTTTTCCCACTGACCAGATATGTCTCCTCGCCTCCGGGCCCAGTGAGGCATTCAAGGTATGTTCGGTTCGCAAACTAGAACAACGGCCGCTAACTTACGACCCAATCAGGATTCACATTCACTTCCACATTCGCCGTCCGGCTGATTGGCCAACAACACATTCACTTTCACGTTCACAGCGACAGACCGAAATGAATTGATCAGAAAGGAAACGGTTCAAATATGTCGGGGGTTTTCCTGGGTCCGACTACGAAAGACCCTCGATTTTTTAAAATTATCGTTTGATGCTTCGCAGTGTAGGCGTCCGTGTCGCGGCGCTGGCGTTGCCTGTGCCACGCCTGACCCTAGAGGTCCTCTAGAGCTGCGTAAGGAAAGTGGGACAAATGCCCTGCCGAAAACACCGGAGTTAATTCCTTCCGAGACGAATTCGTGTGGCAGCACTGCGGCGGCGGCGGAACTTTGGCCGAAGGGGTCCACGTGCGGGTTGATGCCCTCAGCCTCCACCGGCACGGCACTGCAAGGCTCATCCTGATAACGCTCCCGTGCTAGATAAGGGGAGGAGCCTCACCTCTTTTTCTTTGTTGGAAGAAAAGTTGGATCCTAGCGTTGCCACACCGGTAGGCGAAAATTATCCCGCTCGGAAGGGTTGCCAACCTAATAGGCAATGAATGGGCAACCCTTTCCACAGTATCGTGGGAATTTTCACCTACTTGTATGGCAACACCCTTTCCCGACTGGCCGCCAAGGTAAAACGGTAAAACGGTTACGGTCCTCCTGAAGGACGCGCGCGAGGCGCGAGCGCGTGGAAATTGGGTGGCACGCCGATCGGGTGTCTCTGTATGTCTCTCTCGCGCTCGCTGGAATCCTTGTCTGTCTCTCTCGCACTCACGGGGCCGTCCGCGCGATGCAACACTTTTCAAAAGAGCGAGACAGACTGGCCCGCGGCACACGCCCCGCGGCACCACAGATTAGTTCGTTAGTTATTCAAATATTCGAATTCCCGCGCCAATCCGCCCCGCCGGGCCGGCCAGCCAATGGGGCGACGCCCAGCGGGCTGCGTCGCTCCGTCTCTCTCGCACTCTCGCCGGCAGGGGTGCGAGAGAGACAGAGAGGTCTGCCCCCCGCGGGGCCATCGCCATCTGGGGCCGCGGGGCCCTTCGTAACGGCCCGAGACTCGTCGCTCTGTCTCTCTCGCACTCATGGGGCGCCCCCTGTGGGAGCGAGAGAGACAGAGCGACCAGGCGCTGCTTGTCCTCGGACGGGCCAGCATGAGCGAGTGTCCCGGGGAAACAGGAGGTGATGAGTGGCTCATGAGAATGTAATGGGTATGGACACGAGCCAATGGCAGCCGATGGCAATCAAACACATGCAATGCCCGGGAAAGAAGAAAAGAAAAAACAAAAAAAACAAATTACGGTCAAACAACGTGAACTCACTAATCGCACCCTTCAAGAGGAGGATTCGCGGAAAATGCAGTTTTCCACCTTTTTTTCGACCGTGTGATTTGGTTCATCAAGTAGAGTGGGGCGTGCACCTTTGACCTATTTGGGGGACGCCAGGCCCCGTGTGCAGTTTGGGCGGGAGAGAGAGAGAGAGAGAGAGAGAGAGAGAGAGAGAGAGAGAGAGAGAGGCGGGCGGTCGTTCCGGTTGACCGACTGCAAACTAACTCCCGGCATAAGACCGGGCGCCGCGCCGCGCTCCGAAGATGACGTCTGCTGACACTGTTTCCGGATCCTCTTTGTGTTGTGTGTCATGTCCGGCCAAGTTAGCAGCCGTCTAACTTGTCGAGGCGTGTGCTCGATCAGTACACGCCAAAACAAGAAGCAAAATAAATAAATAAACGAACGTCGAACAGAAAAAATGATCAGTGTTCAGAGGATACGAGTAAGCATTTCAATGAAAGCAGTGAAAAACATTTTTTTTCGTTTTAATCTATATTTAAGTTAAGCAGAGTTATAAAAAAAATGACAGGAAGTTTGATACTTTCTCTGAACACTTGAAATTAGAACACGCACTGTCTAAGATTGTCAGTCTATTTTTTGCTTTCCTTTGTTTTGTTTTGTTAGGGTGCAGCCTTGCACACCTCGATGATTGGCAGCGTGGACACGGCTTGTCGTTAAAGGTGCTCGTAAATTCACTTCAAACGCGTCCCGCCTGCAGACTGATTCCGAGAGACTCTCTGTCCCTCTGATGTGGCACGCCCTACGAGTGCGAAAGAGAGACACACACAGAGAGGCAGCCTGCGCCGCGCCTACGGGACGACGGGACGCGATGTCTAGCCGCGTCAGTTTATCTCCCCGCTTCGTTAACTACTGTCCCCGGCCGTCCCCGTGTTTGATTAAGAATATGGGATATGCCCACTTTTGGCGATCATTAATAAAGAGAGGAATTCCATTAGGAGACTCCCAACCGCGAGGGGGGGACCACTCTCCACATTCAATGTACAAACTAGGGACACAATTCCACGGGCAGATG